ACGGGTGCGCGTGTAAGCCCCGCCCCTGCGCGTGCGCACACGCGTGCACACCCCGGTGCGCGTGCAAGGCCCCTGGCGCGAGCGTGGAACCTCAGCAGCTGCAGGGCAAATTCCAAAATACCAGTTTCATCAGCTCTGGTGCATGAGAGAAAGGAAAGGATTTGTAAGGAAATGATTAAAATAAATTAATTTCAGTACAATGGGCAACCGAGTCTGCCACGGCCAGGAGGAACTTGGGGAAGTTTCGCTGAAAGCTGCAGAAAGTTGGCCAACAAGCACCGCTGTAATCACATCAGTAATTCTCCTTTAGTTGAGTCGCCACCAACGGCGTTTTCGGTGTAACATACAAAATCACCGAGTTTGAGAATGAGAGAGGGATGATTGCCAGAGAACGAACACAAATGTGCAAGTCCGCTGGGAAATCACAGACTTGATTATTAACACGATCTCTACAGCTGCAGAGCTCCGGATCAACCCGTGTTTTCCTGCGAGAAGGAATGGCGCTTTGAGCTACAGTCAGGGCTGCTTCGTTTCCAAATAAGCAGCTTTTCACCTCATTCTCTCCCCTCATTTGTCACCCTACAGCCCAAATCCCTGCCGGACGCTGCCGAGCAGCTGGGTCAATGCTATTTGACAGTGCAATCCTACAGGCTCGCTGGGTAATGACCGGAGACGGACACTGCTCGGAGGTGCCCTCATTTAAAGACATCTCTGCCTTCCCTGCCATGAGGCGGTGGCGAGGGCCCCCCAGGTACTCCTCTCGCACAGATCGAACTGCTCACAACAGTCCTTCACACCAGCCTTAAATTAAACTTCTAAGACACTTAAACCACTCACGCCACTTTTCTGGGTGCTCACCATGGCGCAGACCACGCACGCACATAAGCAGAGAGGCCACATGTCTTCAGGAAGTTATTTATTGTTAAAGAGACTGGCTGTGTCGCAGCCCCGAGGTGCTGCTACATGGGTGTCCCCGTGTCCCCTCACACTGCGCCTGTTTCTCCTTTGCAGCTCTCGCTCTTGCCTGCCACTCTCTTCTCTGCTTTAGCCTCTCTGGTGCTCTCAGCTTCCGCGCCTCCTGAAAAACCTGCGGGAGGAGCATAAGGAGGTGAGAGAAGGGGAGAGACGATGCTGCCTGCTGCCGAGCAGAGCTGCTCCACCACCGCTGCTTGCTGCTGCCGGCAGCACGGATCCGAGTTCCTGCAGCAGAGGCCAGGAGGCACGCCGTGCAGCAACATCAACTCCTGCCCGCGTGCCTCCCCCGGGACTCTAGCCAGCCCTGTTTTCAGGGTACCATTCGGAGGTATTCCGTTATAGCTACCCAGTCTTTTGGTAATAATTTATTGAGCTGAAATTTAGTATTTACAGACTGAAGGCACGTCCAGCTTTTTGATTCTGCTGTTACCCTAAGGTGTATCGCACACAGCCGTTACACTGATGTATTTAGAGCAAAAGAGAGCAGGCAGTGGGTGTACGCACATTTCTGTTCCAAAGCTGCCATCAAATTTAACTGTCTCACATATTAGTTCCCCATACCAGGCTCTGAAAAGAAGCTGTTTTGAATCATACATTTCTGAGCAAACGAGTAGCACAATTTGAAGTTCTCAGGCACAGTACATCCGCAGCACATGCGTCACTGCCCACTACATAACTGTCTTTTGTGGAGTTCTTTGCCGAGCTTATATACTGCTCTACAGATATTATCATTGTCTCCTCATATTCAAAGCATGGATTAAAAGGACTTATCTATCAGTCTTTTCCTACTGACTTAATTGTGCCCTTTTATAAAGAGATTTTTTCCGACTCCAGTGACATGGCTCTCTCTCTGTATGGCTCCATACCTTGAGACAGAAAGCCTTCTTCACCACCCAGCGCTTGGTGATCCTTCTGCAGTAGGGCGGGGGTAGGGTGTACTGGATATTCAACTGCTTGCAGGTGTTTTCAAAGGTATCATAGCGGACACGGCGAAGATATGCAAGTAGCTTCTTCCGGCGATCTATATCCATCAGCATGCGACGACGGTTATTTTTATCCTGCAAAGGACTCAACGTTCACTAGACTGCAGAGAGATTATACTTCCATTCCAATAAATTACTTAGAATAGACCAGATTATGGCTGAAAGGAAACAATCAGGTTAAGGACAGTATCTTAGAACAATTTTTCTTGGCAGTTACTGCAAGCACATTAGGTCACTACAAGGAGATCTGAGATGACTTAATTTACTTTTCACTGAAATGGCTTTCTTCATTCTGTGTCTGCACCTTCCTCCCCCAACCCTGAAGACTGTTTTCAACTTGTACACAGTTTCAGGCGGTGGCAAAAGCTGCAATGGCTTGGAGGCAAAGGCTGTAGGGAAGGTCTACTGGCTAAAAACCCTGCTTCCCCTGAAATGTATTGTTCCAGAAATAACACAGAAGCATTTACCTTTGTTTTTCCAGAAATTAAATGTGAAAATAAAATGTGACTCAGCTCTATCTGACCATTTGGGTTGTTCTTTGGAAGAGAATATGCATAGCTTAAGCCATACCATTCAGGGCAATCCCCCATGGGAGAAATTTCCCTATCCTATACAAGCAATTTGTATACAAAGCAGGCTTCATCCAAGCAGTTTCAAAAGGTCTCTTCTGCTGAAACATTTGGTACAACTTCTGGCTTCTTATAAAAACTGAATTCTATTCTGTTTTACCCTTCAAGCTTTTATGATTAACAAATAATTATGCACTTTTTTCAAATGCAGTTGACTAATCCATTTCCCACTTTTTGCACTTTTGCAGAAAGTCTCTTTAATATATCTTGTTCATAAACTTGTAGTTGTGATGTTTTGAATTTGGGCTCTGAACCCAGGTAGCTTTAGGTAGGAAAGTGGTTACTATGACAGTAACACAGTCCTGTCCACTAAAAATGTTCATAGGCAGAACAAAGAGAGAATACAGCTTGCTGAAGCGATAACATTAATTACATTGAAAACTAAGCAGTGAAGCCACATCTGCAGCAAGGATAAATTTAGCTAAACTCCATTCACAGCTATCTGCTCAGCCACTTCCACCAATGCAGTAACAAAAAAGAACACACTCCACACTTCTGTCGGTGAGAACGTAGCTGTGACTGAGCCAGCAGCTTCCCAGACTGGCACCAGGGAACAGTTATAACTATTTTATAAACCTTCTTAGGAAAGCCATAATCCCCAGAATTAAAATCCTTTTGTTCTAAACTGAGAAAACAACCTGAACAGCTGCTGTCTCAGATGTGTGGGCTCAGATTACTGATAGTTACCTTGGGATGCCTCTGAAGATGTTCCTCGTAAGTGCGTATCTTGGCAGTCAACGTAGCAACTATAAAGAACAGACATAAGAAGCCGTATGAGAGTAGAGCTTTCCAGGGTGAGACAGTATCATTTGCATTCCCTTCAAATTGCCAGTTGAGGACTGCTGTTCTTATGGGTACACACTGCACCACAGCAAGTATTACCGCACAGCCCTCTGAATAAATGCAAAACAAACCACAAAATATAACCTACATAACCTGAGTCAGAACTATTACTATTATGAAGCTGCTTAATCAGAGGTTAAAATTTTAACAACAGATCATATGAATTTAGCTGTAAAATGCCTCTTGCATTACTGATAACTTTACATTCATTTCACTTCACTTCGTTTAAGCTTTGGAGGAACAGACACAAATTAAGAGGTTCTTTCTAAGAGCAGCAGCCAGCTCTTTGTGATTTCAGGCTTTGGAGAAAGGTGCTGGTGGCATCCTGAGAAACTGGAAGCCTTTATGAATGATAAAGGAGCACATCTTGGTCAATGGCAGCGTGGCCTTCATCCCTGCACTGTCCCTACACTGTGCTTCAGCCAGAGCTCTCTGATGCAGAGGGAAATTTGGGTTCCATGGCTAAATCTAGTAGTTCATTTTGGTAATGAATGCAGTGCAATGCTTCAAGTCATATAAGCACTTCAAGCAGAATAATGCACGTTGCCTTTGGAGGGTGGATATGGAGTAGGAATTTGGAAATCATCCTAGCAGACATCTGCCAGTAAGTGCTTGCACTGTCTCTGCAATGTTCCCAAACTCTGAACAGGTCCTCCAGGGCATACTGCAGGCTACCTGCCTCTCAGGTGCTCTCCTAAGGAGATTCTCCTAACTGATACAGGAAGCTTGAAGTGCTGGGGTGGGAATAGCTGAATAAAAGCAGAGATGTAACATCTGCCAACAATATCCTTCTACTTTTTTAACTTACCTTGCACCTCAAAGGAGCCATTGTCGTTGGGAGACCTCCTGACCTTCTCCACCAGCTGCTGTGTCTTTATTTTCATCTTCTCCTTCTGTGGATAACAGAAGAGAGCTTGTCACTTTCTCAGGAACACTAAATGTCTGAGACACCCCAGCTCTCTTCCCAAATGCCCAGATAAAGGCTTTGTAATTAATAGCTTTACTCAATGTCCATCACAAAATGTGTAAAAAAAGCTGCAAAAAAGGACCTACTGCTTGTGGGACACTGCTCAGAGCACAGCAGCGAAGCAGCACAAAAAGATCTCTGGAACACAGAATCGTTCAAACCAAGAGTCCAGGCACACCCTTCGTCCCAAGATTACAGAAGAAGGGTGTTGAAGAGGCCCCGCTGCTCTCATGAATGGAAGAGAGAACTGAAGCTGATCTCACATGACAGTAGCCTTTACTTTTCGCATCTTTTTAAGCTTAAGTTGCAGGCAGCAAGAAATGGTAAGATCTTTGTGCTACCTTACGATTTGCTTAGTTTATTTTCTGGGCATACAAAAAGCAAAAGTAGTTTGAAGAACATCTGCTGTCCAGTGTACTATTTTCTAGAACACAGGCCAACTATCATCAATAACATAATGCAGCTCATCTCCCCTGTGATTGCCTAATATTTTGCTCTCTCATTGTAGTATGCAATTATTATCATAAAGAAGACTGCATTATAAATTTTAAGAGCATACAAGACTTATCACTCTCATGTATTTAATAGCCCCAGATTTGCAGTCACTGAGCAACACTTAAATTAAGTGAAGGGCATTTAACAATATAGAGAAGTCTCACACAAATGTGCTTACTAAATCTTCTAGGTTTTTTTATGCAAGTAGAACGAAACTAACCTGGCTTGCCATTTCGAGTGACAACAGTCTTTTCACTACATCATCAACACTGCAAGGAGATTGCAGATTAGTTTATAAGCTAGAAACGAAGTATATTTAACAACAGAAATGAGATTAGGTTTTCAGAACATATTAATTTTTCTCAATTTTAATTTACTCCACAAATTTACAGCAACTCTCCTCCCCTCCCAAACCTGTCAGCCATAAACTCTTTCCTGCATTCCTAAGAAAAATCATGGCTGAGATTACAGAAACATCGAGTAGTTTTGCTGCTGCGGGAAGCACAGTTATTTCAAATGATGATGAACTCTTATCAATTCCAAAAACATTATGTGCAAACTGGGTGCAGAAGATTAACCCCCAAGTAAGTGTGCAAGGATAAAATAAGTAATTTTAAGGCTTGCTCCTTCAAAGATCTGTGAAAGTCTCAGTTACGCCACTGGGGGCTCTCCATGCACCACACATGAGCAGTTCTGGAATCAAAGCATGAAAATGCTAAACTCCAGGTCCAAATTTCAGAAGCAGCCATTCATTTTGAGTTGTTTAACTATACACTCTCTAGCACCTAAGTTCAAGACAGACATAGATTATTTCTAAGAAGATTATTTGTAGTATTTCAAGATTATTTCTTTTTTCTATGGACTACAAAGTCCACAGAAGATGTCGGCAACCAGCGCTTAATCTCACATTAAGTAAACAAAAACCTTGCATAACCCTAATCAGCGACTGCTTTTGCAAATTTTACTTTCAAAACGACTTCGTAATTTTTCTGCTAAATTGCATACCAGTGATTACAGAGCATTAATTAATTACTAAGCAGGTGACAGCTTCCACGTATTGTGGGGGTGTGTGTGTGTAAGATAAAATCTCTGAAGAGAATAGTCATTCCCTTTCCCTGTATCATACCTATTTATTATTGGGACATTGGCATAATCTTTCTTCAGCATTGTGGGAGGAAGATCATCCAAATGGCTGGGGATGTCTACAAAGAGAAGGTTAATATTTGAGGAAGAGCAGTACAAAGTCAGAGCTCTGAATAAGCTTGCAAACTAGACCAGAGGAAGCAAGTTGCAAAGAAAATAGACTGTATGCTCCAAACAAGAAGGAAGAACTTAAGAGGTCAAGCTGAGATGTCAGGAAATGAGTGAATAAAATTGGGGCCACTCTCTTGACTTCAGCACTCGGTGTATAGTCCACCAAGATCAGTGATCTCTTGCTAATGACAATTCCTAATTTCCCACACATTCATGAGCTGCTGAATTTTCTGAGTAACTTTTGAGCTTGCAAGGAATTATTTCTAGAAGCACAGAACCACAAAAAAAGTTTACAAAGGGACCTTATGGAGTTTCTACTCCAATCTCCCCTTTAAAGTGGGACTGTCATCATTTCTTTGTCTAGCAAAGCCTTGAAAACCACTGAGGATGGATATTCCACAGCACGAAGCGTGTTCCCACGCTGTACTGCCTTCCCAGTGAATCCTTTTTCCTTTTGTGTCCAGCTGAAACATCTCCGAGCTGCTATTTGGGACCACTGCCCCTCATTACATTGTTTGGCACTACCAAGAAGAGTCTGGCTCCCTCACCCTTGATGATGAGTTCTGCATCTTTAAAGTGAAACCCACCAATTTCTCCAAATACCACCTCTTCCTGCATTAGGGTACAACTCTGATAATGTCAACAGTAAAACATTTTGCCACATGGTCCCATTAATCCTGACATACCTTTCCTCTTTCTTCTCACAGGTCTGGCGTAACATCTGGCTGTCTGAACAAAGGGACTGCATGCTTGATGGAAGAAAGCAAAGATTTATCAGACTTGCGTGCACTTTTTTAGCTATGTACACATTAAATACTGCTTAGTCTGTACTAGAAAACTGGTCAGAGTACTCAGACTCGAAGGGCCAGTGGCCAGCCAGGTCTTTTGTCCCAAAGGAGCGCAGAAAAGTTCGGTGTGGTTCTCACACCGGTGCTAAAACAAACAGGCAAAGCTGTGCCGCTTCAAGGTGATCTGAACCCAAATGATAAGAAGAACAGAGCAGCAGGAAGAGATTACAGAGACTGAGCAGAGAGTGCAAGGGCTCCCCAGCTGAACTGTGTTCATTCAGAGGGTTTAAACTGATGAACTAATCCAAGTAATTTCATGTGCAAGTTAGACGGGCTGCCTTGGACTACCCCAGCGGCAGAGGCAGAGAGACCTAGAGACAACCTTTGACCAGTACAGAGATGAGAATTATGAATGAGAATATTCATCAGCAGCCTGAACTGAGCCGTTCTTTGACCTTTCAAGAATGAACTCTTCCAACTGCTCTTTCAAGGCCCCTGCTACTGGAATCAATACCTGTTTCAGGTTAGTCACCTGTGTCTCAGACATGTTTTCAACTACAGACTTTGCCAGTCCACGTACC